CCAATTTATTGCTCTTGGCCCTGAATGTGTAAAACAGTTTATACCATCAAGGCTGTGCTTGACCACAAGTTTCCTTGGTAGAAATATTTATAAATGATTGAGAACTGTGTGGTTCATTTATAATCCTTTTTCTTTGGGGAAGAGGGTTGTTTTGTTTTTTCAGCATGGGGGAGGAGAGGAGAAAGCTACTCTGCACTCGGTTTAGATTAGAATGCAGACCTTGAAATAAAAAGCCATACAGCCTTGGGCTCGTCCCCTGGAAGGATTCTCTTTTGCATCAAATTAATCGGTCCTGTCTAGAGTTTTTGCTGCTGTGGAACATGCCCCTTCACAAAAGAGTATATCCTCATTTAGACAGTTACAAATTGTGTACAGCTCTTTCTTACTCAGGGTCGAAATCCATATTCCATCACTTCTCACGCACCCTAGTTCTGTCCCTCGGAAAAACACAGAACAAGTCTTCTGCCTCTGCCACACCTTCCTCCTTCAAGCATTTGAAGATGACTTTTATGTTTCTCTTTATTTTCCCCATCTCCTTATTAAATATCATCAGTGCCTTTGATTAGTCCTCATAGGACATGATTCCCAGACACTGCAAAGAAATTGGAGCTGTGGTTGGACTTAAAATTCTTCCTAAACAGAATGCAAAGAGGAGACCTGAAGGCTCACTCAGTTCTCATTTATACGCACCTATAATGGACGCCATTGGAAGGACTGTCTAGAAGTCCAGAACACAATGGTCTGCCCACGAGCCGTGTCTGTGCCAGCTGCTCTTCCTGGGACCCCCAGCACACACCAGTCATGAGGTGAATGGGTGATACAGGGCGGACTCATCTCCCCCGCCACAATGACTGGCTGAAAGAACAGTCACAAGTTCCAACCAGGCATTGCACCCCAAGATTCCAAGTGGGAACTCGGTGAAGACCTGCTTTCCTCTCAGCTAGTAGAGGCACTAGATAGTAACAGCCATCTCCCCATTTCACAGAACAAGCCAATTTGACAGAATGAGTTCAACATGCAAAAGGGTGTGTGGGAAAAAGACCCCGAATCTCCCATTCCAGTCATTCTTAAAATCAACTCTACCCCTGCCTTTCCTGTGGTCTGGTTATTAAGCCATTAATTCCCCTCTGACGAAACCGAGTGTGAGTTAGGTTTGCGCCATTTGTGGCACAGAGGGTCCCGTCTAATACACTATTCATAAGGTCCCCACTACTCCAACAGGGCCAACAGAATGCAGGTCATGAAAGGGGAGAGCGGCCACCCTATCTGCAAAAGGTGTGGATGGAATCTCTTTCCAGCATAATTTAGGAATGAGAGTGATACTCACATACCAAAGAAGATTAAGGTCTGTTTTCCTTAAGAACCGAAGCTCATAAGGCTGACACTGTTTGTCCAAAACTGTATTTATAGAATTATCATAGTACCTGGCACACAGTAGGCACATAAGGCACTCTCCACTACGCTTTTCATAGTACATAGGAGGCAGAACACAGGCTATAACTTACTAAAATGAAGACATATCTGCTCCAGAACAAACTTATTATTTAACCCCCCGAAGATCAGATTCCCCACTCGCTGTATAAATGATGGGACTGGACTAGCCCCTTAGACTTTTTTTTAGCCACAAGACATGACTCTGTCCACCCTCAGCAAGGGCAAAGAAGAGTCTTCTAAACCACCTAGGTATACTTAGGGGCACAACATGCCATCGTGAAGAAATATTGGAGAACAAAGCAAAAGATGAATAATGGGAGGCAATCGTCAGTGATGAGATAAAAACAGTCTTAGGATGCGCCATCTTCCTATTAGCTTTCTATCTCATTCGAACCAGTTTCTGTGGCCAAAAATGCCATCTGGGCTGGATCCAGACCGCCAGCCACCAAGCCTTTCTCCTTCCTGGGTCTTCCAGGCCATAGGATGACGGCTGCTTCAACTCCAGCACGCAGCTCCTTTTAGCGTTGGCTTCCCACTTCACGCCCCTCTCGCCACTCCAGCAGCGCTTCTGGTCACCAACCAAAGATGTATCCGTTATACTGCGCACCTCCCACCCTTGTTTCCCATCCTGGCCCCTGCAATGCCTGATGCCCAAATGTCCATAATTTGGGATAACACTGATTTGTTTTAAACTTAGGATTCTGTCTCAACATAAACAATCATAAAATGTCATCTCTATAAATTACTGTGAAGATTTGTTCTAAGTGACTCTAAGAAACGGACTTCAGATCCTTCTATGAAACAAGGCCTTGATTAGGGAAAATACTCCTATTACAGCTCACAAGTAATGCACTACTATGTACCTGCACGTTAAGTATTAAGTACCGCATGTTAGCATATTAGACCATGAATAGGTACTACACTACGCATTTTGCACGCATTTTCTCACTTAGTTTCATAACACCTCCGTAAGAAAAGCACTCATAATTACCCATGCGTTAAAGGTAAAGAATCTAGGGCTCAGAAAAAGTAACTTGCTCCTGCTTATACAGCCAGTGAGCCAGTCCATTGCCTCCAGAATCCTTGCTCCGACCCAGTCCATGACTCACCAGGGCACTGATCCCTGTGAGAAATGGGGAAGGGAGACCTGGGGTTGGGGGAGGTGGGAATGTCAAAAGCAAAGAGACCAGAGAACCCACATCAACATGATGTGCTTCTTTATCTTGCTTTGAGGCAGCCCTATGTGAAGAAGAACCCTGTTCCCATTATGTAGCAATAGAGTATCTGCCATTTTGCATTGTGGAAATGTACCCTGTGTTGTCCAGGCTAATCTAGTTGACTGCACAGTGCTGTATGCAGACACCCTGACGACAGACAACTAATTCAGGCTTCTTCTGGGTGAGGAAGATGCTGCTGAACAGCTCTTCAATTTTTTTGTCCACAGCTTCTGATGCAGGGCGCCTCACACAAACCACAACATCTAGAGAAGAAAAGTCATTGAAAATACCAAGAAGGGGAGAACAGGGTGAGAAAGAGAGATTATAAAAAGTGCTACTCTCCCCTGAAAAAAATACTTCTGCGAAAATTAAAAATTAAAAAAAAAAAAAGGTGAACAAGCCCAGGGTGATTATCTGATCCCTTGTGAATCAGGAGCAAATGAATGCTTATGGCCCATTGCTAAACAAAGGACAGCACTGGACTGTGCAACAGAAACCATATGTTCCAATAGCCATGGCGGAATTTTCCTGCCCCACAGAGTAGAGACAGCTTGAGTATTTCCTTTAGAAGCGAAACATCACTGCTGTAATTTACTCTTGGTCTGTAGCAGCAGCAGTATTTCATCGGGAAGCAAAAACCCCTTTACTTTTAGATGCCATAATCTCTAACTCCTCCCAGGTCTTCATCCATTCAGCAAGACTTCAAATACATCAGCAGAAAATAATGCTGACACCTACCGAAGGTGTCATCAGATGTTCCTACACGATCACCAAAGTCTCTAGTTTTGGTGAAATGGAAGCTGGGAATCAGACTAACAAACTCTTTGGGGTTATTCAGGAACTAATATAAAAAGGTCTAACTCCAGAAAGTACAATTTTGGGTAAAATGGAACAGACATTCCCTCTCACTGAAATGATATTCTTGTTTCTTAAGAAGTATGGAAGTCATAATTAATTGAAAAACTGTGTTAAGCTAAACTAGAGAGGCAGAATCTAAAATACTACGCGATAAGAAAAATTTTAAAGGGGCCTTAAAATATACTAAAGAAGTTTAATGCCTTCATTCTTAGTCTAACCATTTTTTTTATTCTAACCAATTTCCATTAAACAGGGAAAGGAGCAGGGAGGAGAGAAAGCATTTGAAAAACTGCCAGAGTAAAAAATCCCATAATGAAATTTTGCTCATTCTTGGAGAAATGAAGTAGAATTAGATGCTTCAGTGGTGGTGAATTCCAGAATCTGGGTAGCTGCCAGTAAATGAAGCTTTTCCATAATGTCAAATGCAAAAGCTATCTGATATCAACATATTGAGCTCGAGTTTTTAAATTCCTATCTCCATACACCAAATTGTTTGAAACCTTTGAGATAAAAACTTCAATAAACTAGTGTTCCAAGCTTTTAATATTTTAGTCCCTTGAGCAAGCATGTCAGATTAATCTTCAAATTGCAATGGGCAGGAAGAACATTCAACCAAATTCTTAAGCCCATGCCTCTCTCCAAGGATGTTAATAATGGAAGCAGTTTTCCTGGCTATTAAGATGTCAAACTTCCCTAATTCTCAGCAGTATTACTATTTAATAGGGGGGAGGGGAGAAGGGCCATTCCGTCTTGAAAGGAAGGGGTGGTACTTGTTATATCTTTGCACCCACTTAGCATGTAGCACATTGCCAGGCACACCGTAGGCACTAGCCTTAAGAGTTGATGGATTGGTTGGGGGGGAGTAGAAATCTGACAACAGCAGGAGCCAAACCCCTGGCACTGCTCAGCAGCAAAACCATCTCCAGCATTAGGGTTATTATCAAGCTAGGGCAGGAATTTGAACGTGTGTCTTCAAAGTACCATCCAGAGCTGGTGAGCGCGCACCCAAAAGCCACTTACAGAAGGATTGGGCTGCCCTCCAGCCTCGCCTAGCCTGGAAAACTCCTGCCCTGCCTTGCTATGCTGGACTCCTCTGCCTTTCCCTTGGTGTGGGTTTGCACGCACAGAACTTAAGTACAAGGTTCTATCGGCCTCACTCATGGGACTCAGGCTTCCTTGCCCTCGCAGGCTTTCCCAAGCCTCGGCTCTGAGGGACACCACACCGTGCTAGGCACAAGGAAGGACATACGGGGTGTCCCTGGACACCTCTGAAGGTGAGAGAGGGTGGTGGAAAGCGATGAGGGCAGGGCAGGAGAGAGTTCAAGACCAGGGCACTGTCCAGAGGCTTCTTGCCCACCCCCACGCCCCCAAAGCCTCTGCCCCCAACCGCTGGAAGACGCTGGGGCAACTACCAAGCCCGCCCAAGCAGAGCCGAATGGCCAGGGATCCGGACTGGGGGGAGAAGGGCGGTGAGGAGGCAGGGGACGGTACCTGGTGTGGCTGTGGTTGCGGGGAAAGTCTTTCTTCTCCATGATGGCCGGCACGCAGTTGGTGAGCTCCGTCCAGTCGGCGTGCAGCCCGCAGCTCCAGCCGGTGGAGAAGCGCGAAAAGAGCCAGGTCTCCTTCTTGCCGGGCCGGTGGCAGGTGCACTTCTTCTGGCCCGCTTTGCAGCTACAGGGCTGCTCCAGGCGGATGTTCTTCACCAGGTGCCGGCCGAACGTGGTGCCCCCGGTCTTCTGGATGTGCAGGAACACGATCACGTCGCGCCCTTTGATGTTGAAATCCACGAAGCGGGTCAGGTCCTTCAGGGTGAAGTTGAAGCGCGGCACGAACCGGGGCAGGGAGCCGTTGTCCGGGGCCTCGGGGTCCGGCTCCTCTTCCTCCTCTGTCTCCCCGTCCTCCTCCGGGTCCCCAGGCTCCTCGTCCTCGTCTTCCGGCGCCACAGCGCCCCGAGCCCCCTCCGGCGGTCCCCGGGGTGGCGGGGGCAGCTGGGGCCGCCGCTCCCGGTCCTGGAGCGGCGCCTGTGCCCGGCGGGCGGCACTGGGGGCGGCGGCGGGCTGGCCGGCCTCCCCCGCGCGGGGCGGCTCCCCGAAGTTGGCGCAGGAGCTGGTGCAGGAGGGGGACACGTACTGGTACATGATGACCACGAAGAGGAGAGTGAGCACCGGCGTCAGCAGCCACTTGTTGAACCTTTCATCCATGGTCCTGCTCTCAGGCCGGCAGGCGAAGCGGCGGCGGCGGCAGCGGCGCGGACGGGCGCCGGCTCGGAAGTTTCGCGGACTCAGGGGCGCGGCTCCGAGCCCGCCGATCCTCCATGCCCCTGACGCCCAGACGAGCGGCTGGCTGGCGGCCCCGCGGCGCTCCGGCGCTGGACACGGGCAGGGCTGGGCCTCCGGACCGGGCGGACAGGCGGGCGCCGGCGCGTGCGGTTGAGGCTGCGGCGTGGGGCGCCCTGCGCTCCCGGGAGCTCCCGGCTCGGGCCGCCTCCTGCTCCCGCCGGGGCACCGGGCGCGCTCTCAGGCCACGCGGAGCATCCCGCCGCCCGCGCTCAGGCGCTGGGTGGGTCGGCTCCGGTCCTGGACCTGCCCCGGGCAGCCGGGCAGCTGCGGCCGCGAGCGCGGGGGCTGCATGAGGCTGGCCGGGGCGCTGGCCAAGGGCGAAGGCGCGGCGCGGCCCCGCCGCCCCGGCCGGCCGCGGGCACCGCGCCCCGCACGCGTGCGGGCAGCCTCGGCTGCGAGGGCGGACGGCGCCCGCCGCAAGTTTGCAGAGGGTCCCCCGCGGCGGCTGCGGGCGAGGCGCCCGTGCGGAGCGGCCTCTCCGCGCGAGTCGCACCGCCGCTCCGGGTCGGTCCGCCCAGGCGCGGGCACGCAGTCACACTCGCACACACTGGCTGGCACCGCCACAACCCGCCAGCCGCTGTGACGGGAGCCGCGCTACCCGCAGCGAGAACCTGCCCGAGGTACGGAGCATGCGCCGCGGCCGCCCCGGCCCCGGGGGAGTTTCCAGGGGAGGAGCCCGCGCTCGGCGGGGCTCGGGGCGGCAGCCGGCGCTGGGAATCCCTGCTGCCGCGAGGCAGACTGGGGAGGAGGGCGCCGGCGGGGCGCGCGGAGGCCGCGAGGGCGGCGCGGGCGCGGGGCTGAGACCGCGCGGGCGGGCGGCGGTCTGGGTCTGAAAGTGGCGAGGCACCTGCTGGCCTGTGCGCGCCGGGGACACCTGCGCGCCGCCGGGCGGATTCACCTAAACGGGACCCCGCCAGGGGAGGCTGGCCCCGGGCTGCTTTGAATTTCTACCCGAGACATTCTCCCGGGTGCTCAAGTTTTCTTCCAGTCCTTCCTGAACCACAAACGTGGTGTGTCCAACTCTACAACTTTATTCCACCAGCACCCGTTCACGGAGAGACGCTGTTACTCACCAGGCGCCCACGGTGGGCCAGTCAGGCCCTGTGTTCCACGCGCACTGCATTCCTCCCGGCAGCAGACAGTGCTCCCCACAGCCACGCGGTTCTGAGAGAGGCGGAGGAGTTCAGGGGTCACCTCCCAAAAGTCATCGCACTAGTCCACCTCGAGCTCCTAAAGGTGCGAGACTCACCCCTTCCCCGCCCAACGTGAATGGGGCTTTTATATACCCGTACTTAAGCTAAATAAGCTCCTGCTTGCGTGCAGTTGTTTTTCAAAACTTTGTTTTTCAACATCTGAATTTTGCATTTACCCGAGGACCAAATCCTTATGTCATAACGATTTCTGTTTTTCAGATAATGGGTGGGCATACCATCAAATTGGGGTCAGTTCTGGTCTTCCTGGACCCCAGCGGAGACAGGCAGTGTATTAAAGGTCAAGACAATGCACTGTGACCCCCCTGGCCCATGCCATCCTGTGCCTGCTGGCCACCCTCCCAAGGCCAGTCGGCCACACCTGTCGTTGCATGTCTCCTTCCCGTCAGCCACTTTCCCACTGGGCTCCCTGCAGGTGGAGGAGGTCCCTGTCGCTTCCTGAGCCCCTGTGCCCATCTCCCCCACTTGCCAGACTGTCCCCTCCACAACCACGGTGGAGATACAGATCTGTTTCGGGGACACTCAGGCTTGCCCATAAGGAGTAGTTTTTCTTTTTCCACACAGGTGGCAGTCCTATCAGCAAAGCTACCCTCCTCTGGGCCCTCCCCCCTTGTCAACCCCACCAACAACCACAAACCGTACCCTTGCTGATACTGTAAGACCCGTATTAGTAAGACAGGTGCTAGGTAAGATGAATCAGCTTTTTTTTTCCATCTTAACTTGACTCTTTTCCTGTCAAAGTTTAAAATCCCATTAATGGCACTACAGGACTCGCCCAAGCAAGAAATTGAAATAAAGCAAAAAAAAAAAAAAACCCAACAATTATTTTCTGAGTGTGTCTCATTAATGGTGTCCTTAATTTAAAACATACACATTGGCTTGAGCAAAGGTAAAAATTGATCATATTTTTACATTACTTGATTGGAGAAGTTTCTCGTTTTCTTTAAAATGCCTTGAAATCTCATGGATAAATAAATATAACCTTGCCAGTACAGTCTGAGTGCCGGTGGCAATCTGTACAGAGGAAAGCACTTTCCTGGTCATTATTTCATCTGTTCCCCAAAACAACACTCAGAGGAGCTAAGAGGAGCATAATGACCCATTTCAGAGATGAGGAAACTGCACCAAGGAAAGGGAGGTGGGAGCAGAGCCAGGATTAGAAACCCCTAGTGCCCCTGAAGTTCATTCAAATGGCCATTGAAGAAATCCGAGGAACATCAGCAACAGAGCCCAGACTTTCCTCTCTCCCCTCTCGAGACCCTGTGAATCAAGAGGCAGGGAGAGACAATGCAATTGAAATAGAGCAATAAAATTGCTTTCCTTTTCCCTCTGGCTTTAAGGCCAAGCCCGCCAAGCCCAGCAGTCTCTACAGCCTGCTGATATTTTGGACCTGGTCTGTGAGTTTCCAGATTAAAGGGAGAGGCGACTACACTTTAACATGATTGTGTCATTGTTAAAAGAAATTATTTAGGGGAATGTTGGGAGAGAACATTATCACAGACAATGTAACAGTGATGTTGCTAACAAAATATGTTTCCATAAATAAGTGCACCTATCACTCTCTTCAAAGAACAGTATCTCAGGAGACCTCTGCCTGCTTTCAGAAAAACGCCTAATGAAGTGCTACCATTTCCTCCAGGTAACCACAGGGAAAACAAGGCGTAGAATCAAGAGATGGCACCGTTAATTAAGGCATGGATCCAGCTATTTATTTTTAATGATAGGTAACTTTGGCAACGTAAACACTGTCCCAGGAGCAGCCTCCTTACTACAGTCGTGGAAGTTGGTGTGAAACTAATCAAAGCTTTTAAATTATGCAATGAACGTCCTCCTTATCTACCAGGGCAGACCTCCCATTCAGGTGAAAATAAATAGAAATTTTCTCCAAGTGAACGCTCTCCAGGTGAAAAGGGAAACATGTTTGCATTCAGCCCACTCTAGTTACTCCACGATGACACCAGCTGGCGGTTGTTACTGGCTAACAGATTGCAGCTACTACGATTCCTACACAAATTATTAAAATAATAAAAATAATGTTTTCCGAGAGCCTTCTTCCACTTCCTTTGCCAGTCTTGCAATGAGCTTAACACTATCTGTGAACCAATTTGTTCACCTAATTTTATGCCTTAATAAGCTTTACTACAATTATTTTCTTGCCTGGTTCTTTCTCTGACTCAACTTCAGCACTCCTCCTCCCTGCTCTTCTCAAATATGCTCAAGCCCGTTAACAACATTGCACTCCCTGAGGATTCAAACTTTTGATTAGAACAGTCCCCATTTAATCAAGTTCAATTGGGAGATAAAATTGCATCTCAACTTCTCCATTTTCCCTTTGGTGCCAAAAACTGCCTCTGAACATGTTGAGCAAACCCTGGAGAGATTAACAATCCAAACGATCGCAGAGAATAGTTTTGAATTCCCTACATTTGCACACAGGAATATATAGATATGAATGCCCTTCAACACAGATGAAAAACAAAATAGATTATGTAAGTGATTGGCAGCAAGACTCTCTCCTTCAAGAATACAGATTGCTCTTATACAGGGAAATGACTTTTTTCATTTTTGTAAACAAACTAAAAAAAAAAAAAAAGCCCCCAAGGTAAGCAGCTTTGCACATAACCAGCAAAGCAATGGCTTTATTCTTCCTGGGGAAGTTAAGCACAAGAGCTTGTACAGATGGGGGGAGCTGCAGAAAGCATAGTGACATGTGCTGAATGTGTTCCAGCTCACAACGTGACCGTAAACTTTGGAGGAGCCACAACCCTCTACGCGGCTTTCCTTGAACTTCCAAAGTACGAAGAGCTTATTCTTTGCTTTATTGTGTAACACTCTTCATCCACCATGGAGAGCTGCCTATGAATGATGAATGGGAATTATGCTACCTGTGTGCAAAAAGGTTCACTAACTTAATATAGTGTAAGGAGATACGAAAATTTTTTCATAGTAGATACTCGCTTATCTCTTCAACAAGAGCTTGTCAAGCGTTTATTATACACCAGGTGGGTTTCTGAGTGCTTTGTTTACAACATTAAACAAGACCAGTCAGGCCCCCGCCCTCATGTGTCTTACATTCCAACAGTAGGAAAACACATGATGAATCAGTAAACAGTACTCATTCATTTAATCCACAGATGCATGTACTGAGTCCCTATTATGTCGTGAGGTACTTTTAGGTACTTGGAATACTTCAGTGAACTATAAAGACAATATTTTTCCCATCCAGAGTTTAAATGGCAGCAGGGTAAAGCTGCTGGGCCTGGTGGGCCCTGGTAAGAATTCTACTCTGGGAGAGACAGGTCGTCACTGGAGGACTTGAATAGTTTTAAACGGATCGTTTTGAGTGCTTTGTTGCGGACGCACCATAAGGAGGCAACCACAGAAGCAGGAAAGCCAGGTAAGTGGTCATTCTGTAACCAAGCAAGGGATGACAGTGGCGCAGACCAAAACGGGTTGGTGGCAGAGGAGGCAGTGGAAAGTGGTCAGGCACCTGCCTTTGGAGACAGAGCCACCCACATGTTTCCTGGTGGACTGAATGTGGGGAACAAGAGAAGGAGGAGCCAAAGAGGAGGTCAAGGTCTGAGGCCTATGCAACTGGAGATGCAACAGGGACCACTCCAAGTGCAATCAGGGTAAATAAGGAGGGTCATGTGACAAAGAGTCAAGGACAAGGATGGGGAGAAGGAGGCAGTCAGAAAGGACAGCTGTGTAGAGGCAAAGGGGCTGAGCCCTGAGGGATTGGAAGGAACCAGCCACAACAAACATCCTGGAGAAGAGCTCTCCAAGCTGCCGAGGCCTGGAGTGGGAAAGAGCTTGGCGGGCGAAGGTGGAGAGAGGATGCAAGAGAGGGTGTTTGGGGCCAGATCTTCCAGAGCCACGAGAATGGGGGCACAAGAGCCACCGGGAGTTTTAAGCAAGGAAAGATATGACCAGTGGATATGGAAAGCTCGCTCAGCTCCTTGAGGATTAGGAAGAGAGAAAGCAGAGAAACCAACCAGGAGGCCAGTGCGGTTTTCCAGGCAAAACATAACAGATGCTTGCAAGAAAATCATTTATACTCATGAGTCCACAGATGCGATATGCACCGATACGACATCCTTCATTTTCCAATAACAGAATGAGACTCTGCCTCTGAG